AAGGGAGAGTTCTTGAGAGTGTTTGAAGGAAAAATTGAAGATGTATGTGTTTGTGCTTGCTTTTGGCCGAAAATAAGAGAAGAGAGAGAGGGTTTTTGAAGTGATGGTTGCATGGAGAACCACCATGCAAAGATGATGTGTCAAGTGCACGTTATTTCCTCTTTTTCTCTTTTTTTATCTAATAAGCATAATGGGCCGAGAATTTGGGCTTAAGAGAAAGGAAGATGAATTAGTTTGGCCCAATTCTTTCTTTGGTTCTAAATTATGAAGTCTATAGAGAAAAATTTTCGGCCCCTTGGGCCCTTGGAAGGTTCACGGCCCAAAATGGTAAAAGGAGTGGGTTTATGGCCCATTAAGGTTAAACAAATTTATTTTAGGCCCATTATGGCCCAAAATGTTAAGTTTCATGAAGGTGGGTCCAATTAGAGCCCATTTAAGGGTCCTAAGCCTAAAATAGTCAAATTGGAAGCTTATTGGTCCATTAGGCCCAATAAGAAAATCCTAGTCCATAATGAACTTGAGTCGGGATTTCTAGGGTTTCCAACCCTTATTTGAACATATGAGATGTATTTGAATGAGCATAAAGTATGATATTCTCTGAGAGTACAAATTATTACACTAGGTAAATGATTGCATGAGAGTAGAATTTCCTAGCAAAATGCTAGTTGTGACAAATTTGTTCCCAGAAAACATGATAAATACGTTATGAAAGCATTTCCGAAGAAATGTATTTTTATTCCTTTTAAAACCTTGGGATGTCATCGTCAATACAGAAACATAAGCATAAACAGAACTTACATTCATTTACACTAGTGATCTACATCTCTTTTAAATCTCTCGGTGTAAAGTAGCTTCGTATCGACACCTGTGATACACATAAGCTTGAGTGGGCCAGGTTGGGAAACCTGGTGAGTACATAGGGTTTTCAACCCACAATATATAATTATTATGTTTAAACATCAAACAATCAACCCAATTATCCATCCCCATTATCTTCCTCGCTCTTAAGGGTCTACCCTAAGAGTCATCTATCCTGCATTCATTCATTCCGAAGTCCCTTACTTCCAGGGTTTATAAGACATGCACTAAGTCCATAGCTGCCAATGCTCATTCGTAAAGCACTAAATCCATAGCTTCTAAAGTTCATTCATCGGGTACTAAATCCATAGCTACCAGTGTTCATCTAATAGGTACTAAGTCCATAGCTACCCACGTTTATCTATCAGGTACTAAGTCCATAGCTACCAACGTTTATCTATCAGGTACCAAGTCCATAACTACCAACGTTTATCTTTGAGGTACTAAGTCCATAGTTACCAGCGTTTATTCAATAGGCACTAAGTCCATAGTTGCCGATGTTATTTATTAGGCACTAAGTTCATAGCTGCCCATGTTTACTCACATCATATTTTATCTCTCATCATTCATCTACCCATGTCATACCCAACATATTTGTAGATATAAAATACGTATACAGTTTAAATCATTTAAAACATGTATAAAAACGTTCATCCAGCATAGACAGCAAGTATTCAGACAATATGCACATATAGCACGTAGTTTATGTAAAATACTTCATATCTATGTGTAAGATGAAAGTAACTATGCACTCACCTGATAAGGTGGTGACTCGGTACTCGGACAGCGCTTCGTTACTTTTAAAACAATTTTCCCTTAACAAAACCTAGTATCATTACCACTAGAGTTTAGTCTAAGGTTCGACGAGACTAATTAATAGTCTAGCTATTATTACTATTATATAAGCGTTAAACAATACTCTTCACCCACTATGTACAGACAGGGACTGACATGGAACACCGGAGGGCAAAATCATTTTGGCATAAAACACTTCTAAAATCCAGCAACCCAAGCGGCCCTCCAAACCAGATTCCCCGTACTGCGAGTGGTTAAAAAGATATTATAACGACACTTATATAACTCATAATAATAGCCCAAATATTTATTATAAGGTCCTAATAACATTACTATATTTAAATAAAAACTATATTTAAAATAGCGTAGGCGTATCTTACCTACGAGGGGGTTTGGCTAGAAGTCGCGCTCTGCAGGGGCAGAACTTCCGAGCCGAAAGCTCTTCTTCTTGGAGCCGTCGAGCGCTCCGGGGCTTTCTTCTAGCGCTAGGGGAGTTTTGGGAGGTTTAGAGAGAGTGTAGAGAGAAGAAAGAATGGGAAATGTGTAAAGAAAATGAGGGTGGGAGAGGTTCTATTTATAGAGTGAAATATGGCCGAACTTGGTGCCACATGTCACCATCTGGTGGCAAGACTTGGGGAGAAAACAATGGTCAAGATTGTGCCACGTCACCCATTTTCGCACAGCACACTTCCGACTTCTAAAATTCGTAACTTTCGCATACGAGCTCCGTTTTTGACGTTCTTTATATCCATGCGTAGGTAAAAATAAGATCTACAACTTTCATTTTGACTCCGTCGGCTAATTCTCGACTGATCTTAAATTTAACAGTAATAGGAGATTATACTGTTAAATGATCGCGAAAAATTCATAACTCCTTCATACGGACTCCGTTTCCGTCTGTATTTTTATCGTTGAGTTCCTATTAATGAGATCTTCAACTCTCATTTAGGTCGCGTAGGCCAAAAACCGCTCGATCTAAAATTCGAGTTTCGGGTCGTGCACTGCTATGCCAAATCTTAGAAAATTCATAACTTACTCATACAAAGTCAGATTTGGGCGTTCTTTTTGTGGACGCTCCCGGTTTAACATATTCTACGACTTTAGTTTAGATTACTAAGGCCAAAAAGTCCTCTATCATAATTTCACTATTTACGTCTCCCGGTGCCGTGCCGGTTTTGCCGTAAAACTTCGACGAACCATAACTTATTCCTTATAACTCGGATTTAGGCGTTCTTCATATGTACGAAACCCTTGTAACATATACTACCATTTGGTTAAGATTACTCCTTCTAAATAATCTTCCATCAAAAACTCATTTTGATGCTTATTGTCTCTAAATTGACTAGCCCGAATCTGCGGGCGTTACATGTTCGTTCGTTTATGTTCGTGAACATACTAAACGAACATAACTGACAAAGATATACACACACAATTGAACATATATGAACATAAACGAACATATAATATAGTAATGTCATAAAACACAATTGAACATATATGAATATAAATAAACTTAAAAAAACATACATAAACGAACGTAAACGAACAAAATAAACGAACATTCACGAGCATAAATGAACGAACGAGACTGATGTTTATGTTCGTTCGTTTGACTAAATGAACGAGAATTTGTATTCGTGTTCATTCATTTATTAAATAAATGAACTTCCCACCGAACGGTTCGCTGAACGTTCGGTTCGTTTACAGCCCGAAATTGACCCCTACCCTAAATAACTTGCTTTTTTGTAAGTTAATTTTCAACCCTTACGCCGAATGAAAACATATGTGAATACGTAGGATTCGTCCCACATTCTCCAAACTCCAATCACAAAGTATACCAACATCATCAAATTAGAATATCTTATACGAATCTCATGAAAAGCAGTACCTAAAGTAGCCTCTCGAATAGCACGTACAACCCCTCCATGGCCATAATAAACGAAAAAGGAAGTAGGAGATCTCCTTAGCGAAGACTCAATTCAACAATAAACTCATCAGTCGAAACATTGTTGACTAGAACCGAAGCTCTAGAAGAAGATAGAGCCGCTATGATCCAAGATGGCAGAAATATTTTAATGTTTGATATGAAAAAAAAAGTTGATTGTGAAGCGGAGATCGATAAAGAGATCCTATGAAAACTAATGCAAATCTTTGTCAAATTTTAAACCCATCTTATTGCAAGTCTAAGGGACTTTTGTTGGTTATGGATGGACTACACGTATAAGTTTTATCCATAAAAGTGCCCCGAAGAAAAAGTTTTATCCATTAAAACTAGTTTTGTGGTGGCCCTCTTTGGTTAGGTAAAAGGCTTTGTTATCCATTTCATTTGCTATGTATTCAATCTGTTTACTTTCTAATCTTTTGCACTTTTCATTGCTAGTATCTTATTAGCTTGTGTTTTTTTTTCTCATAATATTATCTTTTGACATTCAAAAATATTTCTACATTTATGCTATTATAGAAAGAACCTACAAAAAAAAGTCGATAACCTATCTATATAATTGTTTTAGATGTTATTTTTAATAAATTTATGAAGTTGTGTTTTGGTTGGAACTTGATTACTTGAATATTAGTTTATTTGTAAACGTTATATAATTAAACGGGTTTCTTACTAATTTAATTATTTAAACATGCACTAACTCATCCTTTCTTGTAACAAATTCAAGCATGTATGCATAAGTCAGTAAATGATCCACTATCTATTGTATAATTAAATGAAAACACTTATTTTTATAAAAAAGTCATTAACTTCGAAAAAACTATAAGTTTCAAATCATATATAAGAAAAGTAGAAGATATCCACCTTCATAATCCATATGATAAGTGACATTCTTGTATGCCCAAGTACAGTTTCGTGTTTAAGAATTGTCAAAACAAAACTATTGTATACAACTTAAAGTTGTAAAGTAATGTGCAATTTCTCGCATAGTTTAACTTTATAATCGTTCAAACAATTTAAATGTAAGACTCATGAGATACTTGAATCGAATCCATTCAATACTCGAAATCGATTTAATCTATTTCAAGTCGAGCTTAGCTTGCGCTCAAACTACTCGAATATATTATTGAGCGAAACTCAAATATTAAAATACTTAGGTTCATGAAAATGCAACCTTAGTTAAATTTATGTTTTTTTTTTTTTTTTCATTTATATGTATTTAACTCTTTAGCTATGATTTGTGAATTTTCCAAATCCAACCAACCGTTTACACTTTAAAACCTCGTACCGAGCCCGGTCGATTTTGAAAGATAAGAACGAAAAAGAATAAAATCATCAGAAGAAGTATCGTTGGTGTGCATGAATGTCCTCCACGTATTACCCTATGTCTGCCACGTGTTATCTTCATATGACACCTAGGCACTCTAGGTTCTTCCCTTTTCATCTGCCTCTCTTCCATTCAGAATACGACCGAAGAAAGCTTCTCCCTTTTACACCATACACAACTCAGAACTCGCTCCAACAATCTACGAAAATGGCAGAAACAACAGTACACGATCCTCCTTCATCATCGGAAATGTCTGAAACAACAACACACCCTCTTTCTCATTCATCAACAGGTCTTTCTTTCTACTCTCTTTCTCTCTCTTGCTTTATATGTACATATTTAATCAATTAATTAATACAGACAAATTGCATCAAGATCATGGTAATTACTCCATGAAAGACGTAATCATGTGGAGGAAAAAGCGTGTTAGTTTAGGGGTGGTGACCACCGCGACGGTTTTATGGGTGGTGATGGAAGTTTACGGCTACAATTTCATCACAGTCGCTTCATGGATAGGCATCTTTCTTGTTTCGTCTGTTTTCACTTGGGCTAATATTTATAAGCTCATTTACAAGTAAGTCATTTCATCGAACACTTGGCGTTCATGAATATCCCACTTATAATTCCATTGGTTATTCCACAGAGAGGAGCCGAGTATGTCGGGGCTTGGGATATCAGAGAAGACAGTCACCGGAATCGCAAACTGGATAAGGGTTTCCGGCGAGGAGGCGATGAGGTGGGTGTTTAAAGTTGGTGCTCAAAGCGAGTGGTATGTTTTTGCTGCGGCGGTTGCTGGACTGTGGCTACTTTCCGTCATTGGCAGTTGTTCAGACCTACTTACTCTTCTATACATAGGTATGTAGCTATTTACCTTATGCCCACCAACTGTTTGATTTATTGTCGTTAGATGATGATGATGATATGAGATGGTGTTATGTGTAGGGACTATGGTGGGTATGAGTGCGCCTGTGATTTGGATGAAATATGATGATAAGATAAGGGAGCATGGGGAGAGATTGCAGATGCAGAGTATGAAATTTTACAGTACGATGAAGAAGAATGTGCAGAATCTAATGGATAAAGTCAAAGACAAAGTCAACTCACCAACAAAGGAGATGAAGGAGAAGAAAGTTGAATAGAACTATCATATGATTTATGACGATTGTATTAGTCTAATATGTTAAGGTGTCGATGTTTTGAAATAATGTTGATGTAAATATCTATTTTCATTTGCAAAACTGATTATGTGTTTTATTCATGTTTATGAATTTGAGGTGAATTAAGAATATTACATACCTTTGTCATTGAGGCATTTCATCGAACAAGTTGCTTGTGTCTTTGAGACGTTCTTCACACCCAGAAACCCAATCTCGGTCAGACCTCCCATTTCTAACGAGTTGTGGTTGATTCTGTCGTCATATACAGTCGAATATAGACATGAATCCACAAGAAATTCGAGCAAAGTTCAGGATTATTATCTCAGAAATTACTCGAATTCAAGTCGCTGCATCTCGAGGAACAGCATTGACAAATATTGTGATGATAAATCCTGGAAGATGCATGTGTGAAAGCGTATATTATGTTTTAGAATTAGAATTTGCGAAGTAAACTGATTGAAAAACCAAAGTCCCTAGTGAGTAGGCTAGCGTGTGTGCGCGTGAAAATGCAGTTATGTTTCGTTGACAGTTCTTTTGGCTTTGATTTTTATATGTTCAGAAAATGAAGTCCTTTTTTTTAATTATTTTTCCCGGTTTAAATATAATTTCATACGACTTTTTGAATTTTTTTTTTCTGTTTCTTTGATTTCTTCATTCTGTAAGGCCAACTCCAAAGAAAAAACTCGTAGATTTGCAAAATGCTTTAGACCATGTCAAAAAGTCTTGTAGGATCCCGTTTCTGTGAGGGCTCCGTTCTGGGGTATTTATTAAAAAAAACGGGGGCGGGAACAGGACCGGGGACAAGGTTAACTTCCGTTTTAATTTCGGGGGTGGAGGTGGGCAATCCCGTCCCGAAATTCTCATAAGATCCCGTTAATAAATTTTATATATATATATATATATATATATATATATATATATATATATATAATAAACAATAATATGATTTTGAGCTTCCAAAAATCAACATAAAACATGTTTCTAAGTTGTTAGCATAATGTTTTTAAGATGTATAACTTTTTTATTTTTGACTTGTAAAATTCTGCTATAAATAATTATTTGTTATCTAAAAATAGTTTCTTTTAGCCCAAAAAAGACAGCCCAAAATCAATCGGAGGCGGGGGAAGAAGGGTGGGGGCGGGGGTAATAAGGGAGATTCAGGGGGTGGATGCGCGGGTAGAAAGGCTGGACATTTCGGGGGCAGGGGCGGGGACGGGGGAATATGGAAATACCGGGGCTGGGGGCCGTGGATACACTCCCAGTCCGTTTGCCCCCGTTGACATCCACATGCATTGCAGACCGCAGTATAGTGAAGTATGCGGTAAACACCGCACCGACCTCGAAATGAAAATTACAGTATCCTTGCCACGGGGACTTTTATTAACACCCAATAATTTTATTAACACCCAAACTTTAAATGATGACCGTGACATCCCCAAATTGACGGTCATTTTAAAATTTTTAATTATGCTTATTTAAAAATCAAAGTATCCGTTTTAAAGAATAATATTGCGGAATTTGTTCCCAGAAAACATGATAAATATATTATCAAAACATTTCCGAAGAAATGTATTTTGTTTATATTAAAACTTTGGATGTCATCGTCAAGTCAATACATAAACATAAGCATAAACAGACATTATTTACACTAGTGATTTACATCTCCTTTAATCTCTCAGTGTAATGTAGCTTCGTATTGATACATGTGATACAAATAAACTGAGTGGGTGGAAAACTTGGTGAGTACACAAGGTTTTCAACCCACAATAATATAATTATTATGTTTCATCATCAAACAATTAACCCAATTTCACATCCCCATTATCTTCTTTATTCTTAAGTATCTTCCGTAAGAATCATCTATCATTCACTCATTCATTCCTAAGGATTGTCCTAAGGAATAGGCATGAACTCCATCGCTGCCAATGGCACAGCTGCTAATGTTATCTATTAGGCACAACTGCCAATGTTATCCTTTGGGCGCAGCTGCCAGGATTATGATGTTCTCTATTAGGCGCAGCTGCCGATATTATCTTTTAGGCACAGCTGCCAGATTTATGATGTTCTCTATTAGGAGCAGCTGCCGATATTATCCTTTAGGCACAAATGCTAAGATGTAGAGTACAGCGTAGTTCAAAGACATCTTCAGGTTTGTAACGACGTAAATTTTTCAACCAAAATTTTCATTTCAACATAAAACCAGATGTCATGTTTTTCCCAAAAATCTCAAGTGTTAACATTAATACAATTTATTTATCAAAAGTTGTTTATCACATAAACCAGGATCCTCCAAAATATATCTCCAAGCAAGTGCGTGTACAATCAAGCCGGGGCCTTCCCACGGTCATCGGAAGTACCTGAAACACATAACACATAACACGGTAAGCACGAAGCTTAGTGAGTTCCCCAAAATACCACATACAACTCTTTAGCCACTCGAGGCTATAACTCTGTATGACCCTCCGATCGATGTGTCTTAGTGGGACCTTCCAGTCCCACAACTCTCGTGGACCTTCCGGTCCTAACTCTATAAACTCTAAGTAACATACAACATAAATCACAAAGAAATAATGCAGGATATCACAATACACTGATAAACACATAAAACAGCTCAATCACGTAAAGATACCACTCTTGGTAAGTATAGTGAGAAGACTCACCTCGTAAGCTAGCTAGTAAATTCTAGTGCTCGGAATCCTCGATCTAGCCTCCGCCTAACCTATTAGATAAGCATCTCTAATCAATACCCCACTCTTACTCAAATACACCAAAAGTTCTCTTACACTCTTTCTAACCCTTGGAATGGGTAAAAGACCATTTTACCCCTCCCTTGTCTCAAATGCTCATACTTGACCCAACCATAAAGTCAACAGAAGTCAATACGAGTTGACAGTCAAAGTTGGCCTGACTCGCCGAGTGCACCCTTGTGACTCGCCGAGTCCACTCGTATCCTCAGAGCTCTTCCTAGGGTTTCACTCAGCTTGTTGAGTTGACCCCCAACTCGACGAGTTATCACTGGGTCCAGAACGTGTGGCAACCCGATCCGACTCGTTGAGTCATCTCATAGACTCGGCGAGTTGACTCATTCGAATTTCTCATTTGGGCACCTGAGGTCAGATCTGCAACTCCAACCTCTAGATCTAGCCTCCTAATACCCAAAAGTCACGTAAAGGTTTGATCTTGATGACCATGCATGACATATATTGCTCTATATGCCATCACTACTCCATTAATGCTTCCAAAACACAAAACTCCTTGGTTGATTGACTAAGGCTCTAAACTTCTGGACTCTCTGGACCTCACAAGGTCCAGTCTGAAGTCTAAACTCGAAAAGGGGCTTGATGCATCCATAGCCCCATCAAGAAGGTGTTACAAGCCCTAAATCTCAAGAACATGAGATCTAATCATCCTACAATTAAGGTAAAAGTTTTTTACCTTGATCTGAAGCTTGAGATGAAGAAGAAACAGGTCTACTGGCCCTCCATTCTTGATCCTTGATGAACCTTCCTTCCTCTTCAAGGAAATGAGCCAAAATGAACACAAGATTAGCTATCCTCACCACTCTAGCTCACTATGGACGTTAGGGTTTCTCTCAAGGGTGTAAGGGTTCTGGTGAGACGAAAATGGAGGCTATAAGTGCCCTTAAATAGGCCGCAAGCCCGAGAATTTAGGGTTTCCTTCAGCAGCGCTGACTCGGCGACTCGCCTCACTGACTCGTCGAGTCCATTCATTAATCCATGTCACTAGTCGCGATTCTACTCTACGAGTTGAGGCACCAACTCGTCGAGTCACTCCATAAATATCAAATTAAATAATAAAATATTATACCTGGGAATCCGGATGTTACAATTCTCCCCCACTAGAATCAGACTTCGCCCTCGAAGTCATGCTCAGTAAATAGCTCAGGATGCTGCTCCCGCATTTCCGACTCCGGCTCCGAAGTCAACTCGGACCCCTTCTGATGTTGCCGCTGGACCTGAACCAGGGGCACTTCCTTGTTCCTTAGAACCTTCACCTTTCGATCTAGAATCGTGATCGGCCTCTCAATGTAGTTCAGACTCGCATCAATCTGAATGTCCTCCAGTTGTACTATTGTTGTCTCATCGGCCACACACTTCCTCAACTGGGACACGTGGATGGTGTTATGGATCTGACTAAACTCCACAGGTAGCTCCAATTGGTATGCCACTCTACCCACTCTGGCAGTCACTCTGAAAGGACCGATGTATCGGGGTCCCAGCTTACCCCGCTTCCGGAATCGGATCACCCCTTTCCATGGGGATACCTTCAGGAGCACAAAATCTCCGACCTGAAATTCTAGCTCGGACCGTCACCTGTCCTCATAACTCTTCTGGTGACTCTGTGCCATCAGAAGCCTCTGTCTAACCTGTTGGATCTGCTCGGTTGTTTTAAGTACTATCTTCGTGCCACCCATCACTCTCTGTCCCACTTCTCCCCATCAAATGGGAGTCTGACACCTTCTCCCATACAGAAGCTCGAAGGGAGGCATACCCGAAACATGTCCTCAACTTCCCCCGAAGTCCATACGTGTTGTTGTAGGAAAACTCAGCCAGTGGTATGTATGTGTCCCAACTTCCCCCGAAGTCCATGACACATGCCCGAAACATGTCCTCAAGCATCTGAATCGTCCGCTCGCTCTGCCCGTCCGTTTGTGGGTGATACGCCGTACTGAAATGCAAGCGCGTGCCCAGCTCCTCATAAAACTTCTTCCAAAACCTGGAAGTGTAAGTACGTCTCGATCCGACACTATCGAGACCTGCACGCCATGACGCGCTACCACTTTTCTCACATAGATCTCAGCCAATCTCTCCGCGGAAGAGCTCTCACTAATAGCAAGGAAGTGAGCACTATTCGTCAGCCGGTCCATGATCACCCAAATCGCGTCAACTCCACGCGCAGTTCTCGGCAACTTGGTGATAAAGTCCATCGAGATCTATTCCCACTTCCACTAGGGAATCTTA